ACCTGTGCCGATAGTAACAAAAAAAAAAAAAAAAAAAAATGCGGGAATAAAAAGCAGGAAAAAAAAAAAACTATCAAGAATTCGTCGGAAGTGTTCTATTCTTGCATATTCAGAGGTTCAGAACTTCGAAACAAGTTTCTTTTACCAAAATGTGTACAGGCTAAAAGAAACACGTCCCAGGAACGTGAAGCGAAAAAAAAAAAAGTTTTCTTTTAATGACGTGCTGAACTTGAACACTATTAGAAATCTTCTCCCATGAGTTAATTTATTCCTTAACGTGAAAAAAACAATGAATATATTATTTTGTATTCTGCAGATTGGCAATGATATGTACTGTCTGTGGTGTTAATTTAAATGCGGTACCTCAAACAACTTAGACGAAAATAAATATCAAGTTTAGGTCATAATTGCATGCAGATACATGTTTGGACATTTCTTCGAAACTCACGTTGAATAACAATAATCACATCTTAAGACGGCACTTACCATGGCTATACATAGATCATTCTTAAAAAAGTATAACATATCTACCATAAATAGCTCCGGCTGCAGCGTGCTTCAAATCTGGCACAAACGATAATCGTCAAAAACCCGTCGTCCTTCCTCGCCCCTTCGGGGATTTATTTCTTTAAACCTAAGCATGCCAGAACATTGAAATAAACGACATTGTCTTTCGTAAGGAACGCAGCACCGCGTGTAAAAGTTCGAGAAAAAAAAATTACGAATGTACACCACTACCTGAAATCAAATGAAACCGTCCGCCGGTCTTTCGAAGTTCGACGAACGTCGAACTTTTACCCTAAAAGTTCGAAGGTCGTCGAACTTCTGACTTTTCAGAATTCGAAAGTTCGAAACTTTTCGAATTCTCTTGATAAATAAGTTCGAAAGTTCGAAATTCATCGAATTTTTTGGTCAGTCAAGTTCGAAAGTTCGACAAGCATCGAACCTTGCAGCGCAATAAGTTCGAAAGTTCGAAAAATCGAATTTTTTAGCGTAATAAGTTTGACGGTTCGAAAAGCGTCGAACTTCTTAGCTTAACAAGTTCGAAAATTCGACCTCCGTCGAATTTTACGATATAGAAAATTCGAAAAATCGAAATCTTTCGAACCTTTCGAACCGCTTGATTCGATCATCGAAACTTCGATTCGAAAAAAGTTCGCGGCATCCCTAGTTGCAACTCTGTTGCTCCATGCGCCTTTCCTCCTCTCGCCTCCCATTGCAAGCAACGAGCGCCTTGGCGTGCTTGGCGCAGCCTCTCTCGCTTCCTTCTCGCACCAAGAATTGCAAACGTCGAGCGGAGAAAGCAAAGTTGCCAGACAAGCAGCAACGTCCAAGATGGCGGAATTTACCATTTTTCGCATTAAAAAAATACTTAACCTATCGCAACAAAACTGGTGGCTATGGAAA